CCCGCGATAGATGGCGAGACTTACTTTCAACCTATGCGCACTAAAACTAGCGGCGTCGACTGACATCCCACCCGGCCGCGGCCATGTTCTGGAAGCCAGCGACACACGTGGACCCTAGTCTATGTGTTGGGATTCTAATTAAAAGAAATGGTGGTGGGATTCTAATTAATGGGATTCTAATTAAAAGAAGAAGTGGGATTCGAACTAAAAGAAGAAGTGGGATTCTAATTAAAAGAAATGGTGGTGGCAGCCGCGCGGCGAAAGCGCGGCCCGCAGGACCGCGCTTTCGCCGCGCGGCTGGTTTGGCTTTCGCGCTGGTTAGATTTTCGCGCACGCATTTGGTTACCAATATCGCCCTCCGGGCGCGATCTTCATAAAGAGACAGCGAAGGAGATGAAGAGCGGTAATTTATAAATAAGAACGATAGATGAAGGTGCAGTGCTAGCTTTTTTACGGGCGATTTTCAAAGAACGTCCGAGACTTTTTTTCCTCGTCAATGGCCTATTTATTTCTTTCGCTGAAGCGTTTTTGTAGAATTTTCACTGTCAAATAGAATTATAGATCAACTGCCTATCGAGTTTTATTGGTTTTTCGCGAGCAAGCGCGCTGGCATTACATTATTTTGGCTGCGCAAGAAATTTCGATAGAGCTACAAAATGACACTGGACAATGGCTCTCCCTTTTACATGGAGGGGGAGCCGGACATGGAAGAGCGGATGGAGGCTGGCCACATCCATCCCGAGCCCAAGGAAATGATTTCCCTTCTCGGCAAAGACAACTGTTGGCAGTGGCTGATCGGTAATGGAGAGTACGTCGTAGAAAAATGCGACCTCGGCGAGTGCAAGCACATCCATCCCTACATGGTTCTGAAGGACGAGATATGTGTTTCCCGCCCGAAACCCAATTTGAAAATCACACAACACTTCGTGAAAATTGTGATGTCTCACTATGTTCCCTTGTGGATAGAGGCACTTGCCGAGAAGTGGCGTCCTGATGGACACCAGCTGTGCGGATTTGGAAAGCACAGCCACTGTCAGCTTTGGCAGTTCGTCTCACCGACATCGCCACGCGGTGAACATGAAGCGCAGACTTCCTACAGGGGTTTTCCATCAGTACCAATGCGCGACGACCACCGTGACTACCTCGTCCGCCGTGACTACGTAGCCTGGTGTCAAAATGAAGCCAAAGATCCGTGTCCCGCCATGAGGCGACTTATCACCTACGCAAACCTCGATCCAAAAGGCAACGGTGGGGGTTTGGTATGCTATATTCCCAAGTGGAAGTCTGAAGCGGTGAAAAAATATCTGAAGAAGAGACTAGGTGATTGTGCAGGCCACATGTTCGATCATGAGTGGGCACAGGACCTCCATGCTCGGCGAAACCGCTACCGCGAGTGGGGCTGGTTGTAAAAGCCATGCGCGACAGCCGATGTCGTCTTCGGGTTCTGATTCCTGCGTACCACAATACGAAATCTAACGCTAAATTTGAACGCGCCAGCAGATAATCGCGAGAACTTCCGATTGCGTCTTGGTCTTGGCGGAGGTTGAATTTGTACACGTCGATTCCCGATGCAAGCGGCAGCCCCTTAGTGTTGTAGATTGTCGTTGCGCAGCCGCAGGCCACTTGAACTTGAGCTGTCTGTTCGCACCAATTCCGAGGCACGGACGAATGCACCGCAGGGGCAGGCACCACAGAAACTTTGATGCGATACATCGATTAGGTGCGAGCGCCTTCTTCGATCTCTGTGTATGATTTGTTATTGTTTCTAAAACATCAAAAATACCATACTACCACTCATGGTATTGGCAGCGATATTGCACAGAGCACACCAAATCTCTGGACACATGAAAAATACCCTCTGCTCAGCGATACACGTCACTACACGTGCTCCTCGATCGTGCCCACTGCACGTAGTCCACACTGCCGCTGTTCAACCGTGCGGAAGTCCTGATTTGAGGACAAAAGGTCATGCACTACGCGCTTGGAATTCGAATTAGAGCTTGGAGACTGACCATGCACCATGGACCTTTTACAACTCGCGAATGAACTAGATCTTGGAAATTCAATTTTCCACGGTAGGCTCCGATTGGCCGTATCCTTCATCCCTAGATTATCCAAAGAGAAGTCCTGGTTAGAACAAAGAGATTGCAAGAAAGTAGGTCTTTCATGTTCCTTAGATAGAACTTCTAGGCGTAAACAGGATCCGGAAATTACCGGATCTGTGGTTCACTGTTGATCGTTTTATTTTTGTGTGTGAGGATCATGTGGCAGTAGCGCAAGATCAACATCCGTTGATCTGAATCAATACCTAGAAAGAGTATGTCTAGGCAGTAGCAGTACCCGCGTCAACTGCCGCGTTCCAGTTGATCCCTTGTTCTGATTGTATTTTCGCCAAGAATTGAGCCACTGCACTTGAAAATTTGTCAATCAGGATAGTGTTGGTTTGATATAGATTTTTCTGATGTAGAAGATCGATTTATTGTCAATACAACGATATTCTTTTTAGTCATGCTCATTATTTATAGATGGTATTGGTGGTTGACTGACTAATCTCGACGACACGACATTTTTTTTTCATTTTTGTATAATGTCCCGGTTATTTATCTCATTTCATTTTTATTCCTGCTCGATTTCTTCATTTTTCAGATATTCAGAGCAAGGGAGCAAGTGAAAAAATTTAGCGGATCCTATTGGGCTTCAAACTCGTTGAGTTCTCATGCCGGTGTGTACTGGACGAACTAGGTTTTTTCTGTACGAGCAGTTTTCAGCCGCGTTTAAGGAGATCGTGGATTTCACATCAAGCTCCATATATTGCTGTAGATACGTCTCTCTTCACCTCGACCTCCCTGGTGTACCTACTTGAGAGAGGAAGGATCTCTGCTTTTGCCGTGTATGTACGATGAATTCCCTTGCGGATCAGGCAGCTCTTTCCTCAATGCTCTATCTGTTTGTTTGATAGTCTTTTCCAAATACCAACAATATTCTCATTGGATTCCAACTCTAGGACAATATCTCTCTAGTAAAATTGCCTGCTGCAAGAGGAGCGGCCTAGCTAGATAAAACTCCACTTCTGCGCACTCAAATAAGGCCTCTAAGCACCAACAGAAATAATTGTCCCTGTAACTCCCGCTGTCGTTTTTGGTTGCAGTTTTTACACAAGTTTTTTTTTCTCTGATCGTTTGCTTATGTTTTACCTCTACTGTCGTGTGAGATCGATGTGGAACCGATCAAAACTAGTTCTTCGTTTGAGAGAAGGTGCCAAGGTTGATACGGCCATTCGTGGCTCGTGCCACACTTGCAACGCTCAGAACGCTCATATGATTTCGTTATGTGGATAATTTTTTACACCCGTGGTTTTTCCAACGCAAATAGTTTTGCAAGATGATGTCCTCGCAAAACATTAGGTATTACGCGACAATGACATAGCTTTTTAAGACGCCAATCCCTTTGTTCCCACGGTAGATTGGCTGACCTATAGAATATTCGCACGAGACCCACCCACTAAGTTTCGACTTTTACACAGCAATTCATACAAATCTCGCTTTATTTGATATCTCCGCACCCCCAAGAAAGTGTGGTACCATGCCGGGCAAAAAAGAAACGACGAAGGCGTCTGGCGCTAAGAAGCAGCAGACAGCAATAAAACGCAAAACCCTGGTCGTGTCGAAGAAGAATGGGAGAAGCAAAGCGCCCGAAGGAGCTGTTGCACCCGCAATGAAGAAGACGACCAGTGCGGCTTCCGCTCTCTCTGCAATGAAGCGGGCGAGTAGTGCTGCCCTTGTTGAGACAACTTCCATCGCTATGAAGAAGATGCCTAGAAGAAGTAGTGCCTCGTCCGCGAGCGGGACCACTTCTGTCGCAATGAAGAAGGCGAACAGCAGTTCCATCGCTGGTGCGAAGGCGTGTTCCGCACGGGGAAAGGCCAGTGTAGTTACTCCAACCAGCGCAGCACAATCGAGAAGTAGTAGTTCCAAGCGTGCTTCTTCATCTTCGAGTTCCAAGCGAAGTGCCACCGCGAACAAAGGTGAATCCGCAAGAACCAGTACAGTGTCTAAAAAGCATGGTGGTGCACCATCGGGGTCGTCCACCGGAGCAGTGTCCTCGTGCGCGACGGCGACAGAGGGCAAGAATGGTACAGCTCTGCCCGGAGCGGGAGCAAGATCCAGAACTGCTGCGCCGCCGACGCGCCACTCTGAAGAGACAAAGAAAAAGGACAGTCGCGCTCCATCGCCGCCTGCGGTTATAGAAATAGGGAGCTCCGACTCTGAGGACGATGCGAGCACGAGCGGCGGCTTCTCCGTCCTCCGCCAGCACCGTCTGTTGCTTGAGAAGCAAAAGGCGCCGCCTCCAACCCACCTCTCCCCGAAAGAATTGCGGAAGCGTTTTCCCTTGAATTTAAACTACAAACCCCCGACTCTTGCCACAGGAGTCAAGCCCGGCGTCAGGATCGTGGACTCGAATGGACTACCCTTGGAGGTGTCTCCATCGGGGTCACCTGCTACTGCGGCGGAACCGAAACCTGCGCCTTCGCTGAACCAAGAGGTGGGCAAAAAACCGTGTAAATCTGCGGAGAAACGGCCGCTGAAAAAGCGAAGCCGCCCGTGGACCCCGGATTCCGGGAGCGAGAGCGACGGAGAGGAGGCACCAAAGTCGCGGCGTCAAACAGCATCGACAAATAAAATTACCATCACGGCGAAGAAGATGAAGAAGCTATTAACGGAGAACCACAGCAAAGAACAAATAGAACAACCACCACGCGCGACGCATACTACGTCTGCTTCTAAGGGACGAAAAAAGGACCAGCAACGTGGTCCCAGCACGACGTCGAGCTCCAGCACCGCGAGCGGTAACACACCCGGGACGTCGTTGAAGCGGTCTTCGAGCAGCAGTGGTTGTGGGGACGATTTTCCATCCGATAAGGCCGGCGCGGCTAAAAAGTTCTTGTTGTTGGCCGAGAAAAATCCGGACGAAGCGGCCAAGTTCTTGGCGGAGAATCATGCGTCCATCGTACTGGCGGCGTCCAAGCTGCTGGTTGTTGCAGACAACGGAGTAGATGAAAAGCCTGGAGGTGGTGCACCTGCCTCCTGTCCGACGAAAGAAGTAGGCAATGATATTAGTTGTACCACAACGATGAAGAGTTGTACCACGAAGATGTTGTCCGTGATCCCCGGTCGTTCCGCCAAGGATGAAATAAATGGTGTCGACACAACTGTTCCCATGCTCGAGTGGTACCCCGGGAACCCACGGCCCCCAAAGCGGAAGGTATTGCACTCATAATTTGGATGTTGGTGCTGGGTATGATGTTGATCTGCAGCTAGTAGAGCGACTTTGTCTACTAGGTTTGTTGTTCGCTTTCGTCTATAATGATAAGGTGCAGTACAACTTTTTGAGATGATCATTGTGACAGCGACAGATGGACGTGAAAATAAGGAGAACTTGTTTAAATTGTGAAGATGTCGTGTCCACCTGTGATCGCGTACTTCTACGAAACAGCACTACAATTCCTGTAACAACTATGACTGTACATGCAGCTCATGATCTTCATCGTCTTGCGCTCACCGGTGGACACAAAAATGAACTTGGCATCCTCGTCCGATGATCAAGAAAAAATACAGGTCGCTAAGAACGTCGCCCCACCTCCCCCGCAGCCCTTTGAAGTCCCGCGTCTCTGCGTTCGCGATGTGCCGAAGGTCCGGTCCAATAGCCGACCCACCGACGGTTCCCTGGTCCAGTTCGACCAACCCGGACTTTCCGACCAGCAGACCCGAATCCGGTTGGAAAGCGAGGTGAAGGCGTTGGGGCGGGCAATCAGCCAGAAGGTGTTCCAGCGGGGCCACCTGTGCCCGAGGGACCGGCCGGCGACCTACGAGAAGCCGACGGTCGTGCAGTGGAAGATCGGGGAGCACAAGCAAACGCTGGGGCACTACTACGGGTCTTCGACGCACGTGGAAACCAGCGTGCGCATCGTGTTCACGGGCGAGCGCGCGGGCGCCCGGGAGCGGCGAGAGCACGCGCGGTTGTTTGGGCCGGCGCCGCGAGGTGGGCGGAGGAAAAAACGGGAGAACGGGGAGGACTGCGGCATCACCGCCGACCTCATCGCGGACCGCAGCTTGACCTCCTCCCAAAAGTTGTCCGGAGACCGCGAGTGCGCAGCGGTGGTCTTGGGCGGAGTCCTGGATTCCGACTGGATTCTCACGCAGGTGAGCCGGCAATTGGGGGACCTCAAGAACAAACGGGCGGAAAATGGTGCCGGCGGAAACAACCCCACCATCCAGTCGACATCCTCCGGCGCAGCAGAGGTAGTATCTTCTTCTGGCGAGGAGTACGCACGACACTTGCACGTTTCGGGCACGATTCTTGCGCTGCAATACGACAGAAATTTGGAGCACTCTGTGTACCCCATTTGCATCACGCAGTACAGCAACAACTCGGGACCGCGACATCAAGCGAAGAACGAGCCAAGTCCGAACGCGCGGCACGTCGAGAGCTCCTGCAACCTTGGTCTGCTCCTGCCACAAGCGTCGAAAACAACCGGTAGTCCACCGGGAGCAGGTCACTACTACTCCGCTGTGCATTGGGCAATCCCGTCGGCTACGCCTCCAGGTTCTTTGTCTTTCCCCCTGGCATCTTCTGCTACGCAGATAAGTTCGATGAAACAGTACGTCGCAGGGCTCGTTGAGATGAACAAAGGACCCGATACTCGTCCGACGCTCTTGAGGGATCGACCGCTGCTGCCTCTACCTGTGTTTCTACAAGCGGAAGTTGGCACGGGGCAAATGGTCTTTACCAGAAAGAGCAAAAGCGCATCATCTTTATTTACCGACACGGCGGGCACCAGCGAAAATCAAAATGTTGACGTCGATGAAGAACAAACCACTTTGTATCCGGCCGAGCTTGACCTCGATGAGGGTTTTCGCGACCACCCGTTGAAAAGTTGGTTTGAGCAAGACTTCTTGCTTGGAAACAAACTCGGCGAGAAAGTTCGCGTTCGCTCCGAGGTGGATGAATACTTAGTGCAAAAGAATCTTGGCAGTGGAGGTCGCAGTGCGCCGTCTCCGGTTCAGGTCACAGTTATGCCGTCGTACGCCTGCAGCGTGGCAGGAAACGGCGCTCCTGTGTTGATCTTGCCGTACCCCAAGGCCTCGGTCGCGGAGCTCTCTCGTGCGCAGCGCCGCCGCACGCTCCGATCGTTGTGGACGGAAATGGAGGGTCTGAAACTGAAGCAGCACGTGTCTTGGATCGGCGTGCGCGACTGGCCGCTCGAGGAGTTGCAGGCCCTCGTGTGCCCCGGCTCGATGGTTCCATCGCAGGAGGATGAACCATCAAGAAGTAGCTATCGCCCGCAAAAAATGCCACAGAACATCGACCTAGGTCTGGACGAGATGAAATGCGCACTTTTTCATCCTGCATAGTGTGAATCAGACAACACCGAGTCCTCGTGCAGAATAATTGTACAGTGTGTTCGGTAGAACAAATGTATACCGCAGCTCTTTTGCGGAGGACTCTGCATGAGACATTAGGTATCCTCCGCTCAAAATCTCACAAGAGAGGAGCAGCCTTCTGCTGTACTGAAATTTTTCATATACAGATTGTTCCTATCAATTTCAATTCACGGTCAGCATTGCAAGTTTATTGCCCCCTTGTCCCAAACGTCGTCGATCATGTTCATGACATATGTTTGCAATGCATACAAGCTCGTCCGTCGATGACGACGCGGACGAGGATGATCCGTTAGACACTGCGGGGTGTACCATCCGGCCGATGATCGCGCAATTTTTGCACCTCCCCGTCAAGGGCTGCCGCAACGACGAGTTGCTGGAGTTCTGTTTGGAAAACGGTATTTTTCCCCAGGCAGTCGGAATGGAGTTCGGGGGCTCGTCTCAACGACCTGACCACCGCGTGTCCGTTCTGGAAACGCAGGAGGTGGTAGACCAGGACAACCTGCAGCGAAAAGGCGTGTGGAAGATCGCGGATTTCACAAACTCTGCCGTGTCCGCGGTTGCGTTCGCGGTCGGCAAATCGGTGTACCAGGTTCTGCTGCGCTGGCACCTGCAGTCGGGCTGCCTGTCCTGCCCCGCGGTGGAAGATGAAGCGGTGGCGGCTGAGTGCCAAGACATCTTCGAGTGGTCGCTGACAGAGGAGCACATGGACACCCTATCAAAATGAAAAAAGCCCCCGCCCCATATCAAATGGGAGACCTGTGATGCAGGATATGCGTACACAGATGCGCGCTGTCTTGCAATGCGGCATGGCAGACAGATCCGCAGCCTAGGGGGGGCGTTTGGGTCTACCTCTACTTACTTGCTTGCTTAGCATTACAAATGGCTGCCCTCTAAGCCTAACAGCATGCCAAATCGCTTCCATAATGGCGCGGAAGCCTCTGCATTTGTCTCCTTGCAAGACAGACGTGTTATGTGGTCTCAAATTAGCAAGACAAATTTATGGAAGCATGCCTTTTCGATATGGGGCGGGGGGATTTTTCCTCTCAATACACCCTGGATAGTTCCGTGAACGAAGCCCGCTTGTTCAAGGACCACGGCGAGGGTGTCTAAAACGTCGCAATGTTGATTGAGCCATGGTGTGAAGTGAACTCGTTTTTGAATGATAAATGACATACTGTTGGTTCGCCTTCGAGCCGTTGTTAAGTCCTGCATAGCACCTGTACTACTGAAAGAACCGTGCGTATTGATTTTCATGCTCTACCCACCTAAAAACCCTATTTTTTTGATTTTGATTTACTTGAGATAAAAGCTGTTGCTTCACATTATATTCTACAAACAAGCAGGACGACGACCACATTCATCAGGGTTGATAAGGCTTTCTAGTGAAAACCCGAAACTATTTTTAGTGTCGCCATGGATAAATTTCATGACGACCGCCATGCATTACAAAATGGATTCGCGGTTCACGAACCTTACTTCGCGATCCAATGATATTCGCACGAGTGCGCAAAAACTGTATGATGTTTATGAAACTGGTTCGCATTTTCGTCCTTACACTTTGGGAACTAGTAAAAAGGACCTCCACACCGATGCCCAAAAAATTTGCGATCTTTTTCGTTTTACACCTTCTGCTCGACTGATCAAGAAGCCATGGTCGCTGTGTTGCTGCGGCGCCGGAGTAAAGGAACGACATTTGGGTCGCTCGCAAAGCAACCTGTGCAAGCAAAGCCTGCAAGACTGTTGCTCAAACAACGCATTTTGAGTCGCTGCCAGCATCGGGTTGTATGGAAAATCGCATTAAGCTGCAATTTGCCGGTTTCGTCCATTTCGTATATTTTCTGGCCGGATGCAACTCTCACCTGTAGCTGTAGCTGCACTGCATCAAACGCGACGAGCAACATCAAACGCGAAGAGCAATATCGGTCTCTGCACGACATGATATTCGTGTCGCCGCTGCTACCAAACGCTTCAGGTCTTTTGATCAGGATCTGGTGAAACACTCTCGGTAACGTGCAAGACTACATGCTCGGTCGTTTGCTTTTCGTACAACTATACTTCTACATTCGTCGGATTTTTTATAAATATTTTCTGCCCAGGCAGCAGCTCCAGCTATTGCTGTTGTAGCTAGCTGCGCTTCACCAACATCAAACGCGACGAGCAACATCGTCGCGATGAGTATCGGTCTCGTCACGCCATGATATTCTTGGGTTCTACGAAGCGTTTCAGATCTTTTGATCACGATCGCATTCACAAAACGTCGTTGCCGTGCCGTCGTGTTTGAGAATTTGAATAGAAGCGTTTCAGATCTTTTGATCACGATCGCATTCACAAAACGTCGTCGTCATGCGGTCGTGTTTCAATTTTAAGACGACGGTATGATGCGTTTTTGCGGCAAAAAATTGCGATTGCTGACGGGCTCACGCAAAGATGCATTTTTTGTTTAAAAAAAATATACCAAAAACGCAGCATAGCATCGTGATAGAAAAGTGATAGTAGAAGGCCAAAGCACTGGACAAGCAGCTTGTCTATATGGTAATTGTTAGTTTCTAATTGTATTTGTATCATATACAAAAGAACCACAGCTATCATGAACGCAGGCGCATTCAGGAACGTAGACGCATTTTCGATGGATGTCGTGGATTGAAAACGAGAAGGCACAGGCAGTGGAAACTACATTTGAGATTTCATCTGGAAAGAGTTGATTTCTATGCACATGCTTGTAAAAAGTCATCAGGATCGCGGCTGAACACGTAGTTGGAGGGCGTTTCCAACAGTGAGCTTGCCGTGAGTAAAAATTCGTGTGCAAGAAGATTATATTGAAGCTGAAGCTTAGACTCCAGTAAAACGAGGAGGTGCGGCCTCAGCAATCTGAGTGGGGTTTGATCGTTTTCCGTTGGCACAAAGAACTCTTGGAGCAGTAGATTGTTCTGTTAGATAGGTTTTTATGAACGAGAAACGAGTTCAAAAGCTAAAGCCTGGCGGAGGCAGTTGGGGCTACTTACTCGAGGGTCATGAAATCGAATCATACCACTGTGATTTAGATCGAGAGCAGAGAATCAAGTTTTTTCTTGAAATGCTCTTTCCTCCGCTTGTTTCGGCTGCGAGAGATCTGTTTAGTTTTTTCGGACCACGGCTTGGATGTGGTATAGTGACGCTCTATTTTTTTTCCCAAATTATAACTGCTGCTGGTGCTGACGCGCTTTTTTTGGATTGAGCTGGAGAAGGGATGACGAAGATTTAGCACTGACATGCGCGAATATTTATGGTGACGATGGTGATGTTGATGATGGAATTTGCTATCTAATGAATGTGTCGAAACAAATTTTGAACCCGGTAGGCACCTACTGAATGAGTGAACATTCGGATTTGTGGGATGTGCTTTTTTTTCGCGGGCGAAAATAAATTAGTGACTTTTTTCCCGGTAACAAAGCAACCTTCGTCCAGATTTATTCTTCTGCACATGTGCCACTAGTACGATTGCAGATCATATCAACCTGATATTCTCAAAAAACTGTGAAAAAGTAGGACGCACGTACCTATCAGCTTTCAACCGTTACAAGCTCGTTAAAGCGCCAGCTTTTTGAACCACGTAATAGAAGTGAAGGCATTTCTCGCTACAAAGAAAAAGAGGATTGAAGATCAACACTTGCCAAAAGAGATAGTACTATTCGCACATTCAGGCGGAAACCCCGACTTCATCAAGTACGCTCGTTCGGAAGGACCTTACTTGACAAACTAGGCACTTGAAAAACATTTTTCCATCAAACAATTCTTTAGCAAAGGGAAAGGTGACCAGATTGATAATCTGCTTCCAATCATTTATTGGTGAACACATCATTTCGTGTAGAAGTGCAAGCGACTGTGAAAAAATTCTATTTATCTGTGGTGTTGTGTCGCGTCCGTGGTCAAAGTATTAAAGAAGTGGAATAAAAAAGATAAGGCATAAGATTTTACTTTCTACATATTTACCTCCATTTGTGGCTGTGAAGATACCTCGTATTGATTGTATACTTTGTGAACATAAGTTTGTATTGTGAACATAAGTTTGTCCCTGTCGTGAAGTGTGAATTTGTATTGTATTTTGTATCTTTTTCTTCCACCTGGCGCTCTTACTTACCTGCCCTTCGCACAAATGAAGAAGGCTCCGGTGTCCGCGAAAAAAGAGAAAGTGAAGGAGCCGGTGAACCCGAAACCAAGGCCGGAGAAGGTGAAGGACCCGGTGAACAAGCGGCGCAGTGTCGACAAGGGAGGAGGTGAACCTGGCGTCGCCAAAAAGCGGCGCAGCGCGGAGAATGTGGTCCCCGTCGACGTCGAAATCCGCGACCTAGGCGCCGCGTGGGAGACATTCGCCGTCGGCGACGGCGCCGCCAAGGAGGAGGTTTGGCTACCGCCCGCGGGTTTGGCCGATGTCCACGTCGAGCCGATGGCAGGATCGAACTGCGACCTCTACAAGATTACCGGCTTCTCGTGTTCGTTGAGCCTGCCCGGCGTTCTGAAAGTCATCGACCGCAGCGCGTGCGACAAGGAAGTGGAGGAGATCGACGACGACGACATGAGCCCGCAGGATAAAGAGATCCGCATGGTCGCCCACGACCTGGAAATGCGCAAGGAAATCCTCCGCGAGATTACCGCCGGCACCAAAGCGAGCAAGGGCGCGCACTCTCCTGCGCGGGTAAGTAAGAAATAAGTAATCAATTTGCTGTCCGTTGCGCGATATCTGGAAGTCCAGGCTCTACACTTGTTTTATTTTGCGTCCGGCTTCGTGCATGGATGAATCGGAAGCGGGCTGCCCTGTGGGCACCCGCGGTACGCAGGCTCTTGTTCCGCTATTATGACAAAACTCCAAATAAAATTGATTCACATCTACTACCCGTGTTGTATTCTTCAGGAAACCGCCGTTTTTTGCACGTTCACGTACCACTCCCCCGACTTCAAGAAGCAGTACTTGTACCTCGAGCTCGAGGACGGGGGTTCTCTGGATGGGCCACCGGATGAAGATGGCGTTATGACGAGAGCCTCCCTGAATTACCTGCTGGGGAAATCTGTGAGGATGACCAAACTGAACATGTTCGCGAGCCTCGTACAAAGCCTCCAGACGTTGTATCGCTTCGGTATCTGGCATCGAGACCTGAAGCCGGCGAATTTGGTCAAAACCATCGCGGTGGAAAAGAAGGCCGTGAAGCTGCCGGAGGGAAAGGCCATCAGTTTCCGTATGCATTACAAATATGTCTGACGTCAGTGTCTGGAAGGATAGAGCTTGTCAAGCGAAGTCTCGGCGACAGTCAAAAGATCTGTGTTGCAAGACTTGCAAGAGACGCCTACTTATTGCTACGCAAGCGCTGGACTTTTCATGTAGGATAGGCCTCAACAACTCCTCGCAAAATCTGTGATGCTTCTGTAAGCATTCCAGACCATGCATGTGGTCCGCGAGATGTATGACAACTCTTGCGACCCCTTAGACTCAGACATATATTGCATTCCATATTCCAGACGCTCGTGGAAAAGGAGTACTTGCGCTTCTCGCACGACGACGGGACGAAGCCCGTCTTTCGGGTGACGCGCAAGGGCGAGGAAGAGCTGCTCTTGCCCTGTGGTGGCTTCGTCGAGGTACAATTTTTTTGACTAAAAGGCTGGCAGGGCAGACCATGCGTGCCGGCCTGCTTGTAGGAAAACCCCTCCGCGGCTGGGGCTGCTGCTCTTTTCAAAAGAGTTTTGTTGTTAATTTTCTAGGCGAAACCCAAACGAATCGGCAGAGCACACGACTTCACGGCAAAATAGAGATATTGGTCTTTTCCAGTTTGGCTTAGTTCGTATCTAGCTAATTAGGCGAATGAATATATATATCCTGCTTTAGTTGTGCTTTGTTTGTTAAAAAAAAGAAATACATATCCTGCTTTATTGGAGATTCAGAGAAGGTTTCTATCAGTGGGCTTTTGAGTTTACCTAAAACCTTACGGCTTCTGGGTCGCTCTAGAATTATCACCATTTCTCTCCTATCGACGTCAGTGTCTTATTTCGTTGCTACCGGTTCGTGGTTGTGCCTACATTCCGACTCGTGGTTGTGCGTAAAAATTTATGTTGCTACGTATTTCAACCATGGCGCCGATCGCCTGAAAGATGTGCGCGGCGGAAAGTCCGGCCCTGCGCGTCTAGGAACTGCGGGCAGCCCTATGGCTGCAACAGCGCAGGGGCTCGATAGCGCTCTACCTATGTCTTCGCGATTGATTTGACCTCCAAAATTAGACCCAAAGGAGAATAGACGACCGCGCAGACACAAAGAGTGCAGCCTAACACAAGGAGTAGACCACTAAAAAACGCGAGGTCAGTCGCGAATAGGTCGCACGCTCAAATTGAAAAAGGCTAAGGGCCAAAAGAGTACAAATGCTCAACACGTAACAAGAGGGCAATGGCAAAGGCTTTCTCGGATTTGTTGACGTCCTCAGGCGCGGTGGACGCCGTGTGCGAAGCTCACCGAGGTGCTGGCGACCCGCCGCACCCTTCCAAAAATTGGTATGGGTCGGTGTGGTGAACTCTTCACACGATTACGACAGCAGGGGGGGGTGATAATGCCGGTGAAGTCCTGCATTCGTTTCGCCAGAAGGGAGTGGGCTCTGGTGGCGCCCGCCATGAGACCAGCTCGCGCGTGGCGGTGAACTCTTCCGCGCGAAAGTGTAGAAAACACGTAGAGTGGTTACTTATCCACAAACCCCACATCGCAGCAGCTTTTTCAAACCGGATTCGCAGCGTTGGTTGGAAAAGAGCGTGATGCAGCATAAGTGCTAATCCCGCGCCAGCGGGAAAACGCTGCTGACAGTCCGCCCATACTTTCTCTGCGGATCACGAAGTTGTATAGATACAACTCACCCGGATGAGTGTAAAAAGTGCTCGTCTGGGCACAATGTGGCTCGGTTTTGAGCCTGGATGCGCGCAGAACTCCAATACGTTTGCATGCATCGCGTCAACGCGGTCGACAGCACGTCCAAGACCGTGACGGGACGGCCAAGGATTGCGGCCCGTCGCGGCCCTCGCTCTGCCTGAAAAAACATGCGTGAAGTCCTTCATCTCCGCAGACTGGGGACTCTCGCAAATTTTCAAAATGTGGCTGCGTTTCCTCGGCTGCAGTGAAGAAGAATTGAACTTTGAAAACTCTTGCCGAATATGCCCCGATGTCCGTAAATACTTGTAGGCGATCGGCGCGTAGGCTACGCTTGTGATGTCGTCGAGCACTCATTGATTATATCGATCGAACGGCTTTATGGTTAATGAGTCGAAAATAAAACTGGCGCACGACAGATTCAGATACTCGTGGGGCCAGATGTTGTATATGTATGTAATAAACCATGAAAACGCAGATCATCACGGCTGACGTGCACTACCAAGACGATAAGGGAACGCGCAAAACGCACACCATGGACGACGTCGTTCTCAAATGCGCCAAAGTTAAAAAGGTCGGCGAGAAAGTGCAGATCGAGTGGCTGCTGCCGGCGGCGACTCAGCCCTTATTCAACGTCAAGGCCACCGTCGGTACTTGCATGCTAGTATGTAGTGAGGTCACGAACGTTCTAACCTAGCGGTTTTTTGCCACCTCTTATGCAAAACGCCCTGCAGTTTTCAAGCGGCCGAAAGTGTTTTTGCACATAAAAAATTTCCAAATATCAAGCGGGCGGGGCTTTGCCAACAAACAAGCCCGGTCGAAAACTATCGATTCCCGCTGGATAAAACGACGCAGGGGAGCCGGCAAAAGGCGCGCCCTTCTGAGGCGCCCACCGCCTTGGTTTCTGGTGGTTTGGGGCGCCCAAAAAGGGACGCCCAAAAAGCAGCAGTCCGAAAAAAACAGCGAATCCGCATGGTATGGGCCTCATTTAGGCCCACACTCGGGCCCCGCAAAAGACGCAACCAAAATCCGCCATTTCAGAGGCGGACTGAAGGCCAGAAGATGCGGCATTTTGACAAAAAAAGCAAAAAAATCCAAAGTCCGCCAAAAGCAAAAAGCCAATCCGCATGCTATGGGCCCGATTTGGGGCTCCCAAGGGGCCGACCCTGGCGGGGGCCCGGGCGGGGCCATAGCACGCAGGGAAGGTTTTTCGATTCGAAAGCAAATGGAGGCCAGCCCTGGATCGAGATTGTTAGGGACCGCCGTGCCGTCGCGCATAACATTACTCACGACGGCATGGCGGGCAGGAAAGTCGTGGCTTTTTTTGGCGTGAAAACAAAAAAACCGCCACGACCTCACTACCCCCGCTGAGGCGGCTATTATTGGTTATGTGAGCGAAAGAGTAGCGCAAGCGTTTTTCTCTCTGGCGATGCCCATATTTATTTTGTCGCCGCTTGCTCGTAGTTCTAGTTGTACTTGTTGTGTGGCTCAACTACAGATGAGTCTTGATATAGACATATCAATCTTGATCCGCTTGGAAATAAAAGAAAATCTTCCCTATTGTTGCAGGTGCGGGGATCAAGGTCTTGGATTTCGGTTCGTCAAGAACTGCGACGCAGATTCCCGGGGCTGCGACTGGTCAAATGGGCACGCAAGGATACCGAGTCAAAGGCAAAAACGACAACTTCTCCGACGACTGCAAAGCAGCCGGACAAATATTATTCGAGTTCTTCGGCTCTGATGCGGACGACATCACGATGATGCAAAAAAAGTTCATCCTGGCCACGCAAATATCAAACGCAAATATGTCTAGGTCTGGAAGAATGCACCTTGTCATGCTAAATATCGACCACAGAGAGAAACTGTGTTGCAGGCAAGCCAAAAGCTCTCCTTCCGCAATAATTCTTGCTAGGCACTACAAGGCGGATTTCTCATGCGGAATAAGCATGAGGTCAAGGTGCCAACCCCTTGCTGGCTAATCTCTCTGCGTATATCTATCGCAAAATATAAATATAATCTGTGATGCTTTTGTGTGCATTGCAAACCCAATCGTGTTTGGGTGGTGCGCGAAATGCATTACAAATCTCGCATTCATCCTGCAGACCCAGACAGATTTGCAATGCATACCAGAAAAGGATGTTTGAGCGCATCGAGAAACCGCTGTGGCGGATTCTTTCGATGCTAATCAATTGGGTTCCCAAAGTACTACGGCCTACTTTTTTTTTATTTGACGCTTTTAATTATTTGTTTTCTCCTTGCGCCTGCGCTTTTGCTTCGATGGTACCAGGCATCGATGAAAAGGAAGGCTGTACTTGCTCCCCGACAACCTCGGCAAAAATGTTTGATTTAGCCGGCCGTTTGTTCTGCCAATGAATGCACTGTGGTATTATTTTCGTACTACTCCTCCACAGGACAAGAATGCGATGGAAGCACTTACGGTTGAAAAAGCGGCGTCCGAGATCGGTCGACGCTTCGACAAGGACGATGGCATACCCCCCCAATCCCGCGAAAGGGTCAAAAGCTGTGTCGCGGACATGGTGATGAAGATGGTCGAGAATTTCAAAGACGAGCGCAAAGGCGGTAAGTAAGTTTTTTGCGGCGCTTTTTCTCGATGTCCTTTCTGCGGATGTGCTATTGTTAAGCACGTGCTTTGGGTCTGTATCTGTAAGATCAAAAAGTACGTGTCTTCAGCAACAAAAAGCAATCTGTCCTGCAATTTCTGGCAGAATAAGTACTTAGCGTGACTTGTCCACTTCCGCGATCTCTTTCTGTCGGTCTGGCACGACAAGATTTTTCTACCAGAAGATCAGAAACAGTTCGCTATCGTTACTGCAGATTTTTATAAATATGCCGCTAGCTGCGGCTGCCCCGGGGACGAGCATGAACTGCCCATGCGTTTCAGACTTCTAGGACCATGCGCGAAGCGAAAAAGCTATAAACTTTGAAGGCGTTTCCAAATAAATGATGATAAAGCAAAAAAATTACCAGATGTCATGATGCGCATCGTAACGGGTCTATTGGCCGGGCGGGACATCGAGGACCTCATGACCGCGGAAGGGTTTTGCCTTTTACCCTTGGAAGACCAGACGGACAAAATGAACGAAAGTGTTAAGGCAGCAATAGATCTCCATGACCCCCGCCACGAGGAACACTACAAGCAGCAGGTGCAGAGTATGCCGTTGCAAATGTGCCTGGGCCTGGAAATATGCAAACCTGTGATGCAGATTAACAGGCAGAAATCAAATCTGTGTTGCATAAGCATAGTCAACAAAAAGTGTTTTCTTTTATTTACCTCCGGAAAAAGGCATTTTCGATGCAGGCTAGGCGTGGAGAAGCCTCCGCGGATCTTGACATGCTCTGTCTGCATTTCAGGACTTGTATGGAGACGGAGGTGAAAGGAAATGCATGACAAAAAATAATATTCTAAAACTATCTACTGCTGCATGATTCTTGCAGACCCAGACGTCTTTGGATGTGATATGAGATCTGGAAAAAACGTTGGCTTCGACGAATAGTGTGCCCATCGCGAGCCACACCTACCACAATCTCCAAGCCTCGGCACGGTCCGAGGATTTTGTGAAGACGCACATGAAGACCGCACTGAAGGTCGGCAAGGACGACAAGCGCGCCTCGACGGACGCGCGCGCGTCGCTGGGCGACGCGAAGGCGGGCAATGTCGGCAGCGGGTTTCCGTTTAACGGAAAGGCGGTCGGACTGGACTTCTGGCGCAATTCTATCGTAGAGAAAACCACACCCACGCTGCATTTGTAATGCGATGCTCATGTTATGTATGTCTGTAGAACGAAGATACCAACAGCGCAAATCTTCTTGGCCCCTTTCTGACACCATCTGCGCGGTATCTGAATATTGTCGCTTTATTCTTGCCAAAAACAACAGTACCTTCCTTCCTTTTCTTTTGTGGCAGGTGTGCTTTTCTCTTGAATAAAGCCGTTTGAAACCTTCGCGAGCACTGGCGAGCGCGACAAGCAGGGGAAAAGTCACAAGGACCGTCTGGGGCAGTTTCGCGCCTACATCTACCACGAGCAGTATCTCGGAGAAAAGCTTAGCATAGTAAGTAATGCTGTCTATTCGAGCATCGCAACAATAGACGCGCAAGAAGTACAACTAGATGCTCGCATTTGTCCAATGCCACTGCTTCGGCTATATCATGCTAGATTGAGGCGCTTGTTGCGATACTCGGGCACGTACTTACAACTGCGCTGGTTTTCTTTCTCGGGATAAGAAAATCGTCAACGACGCGGCCAAATCGAAGCCGGCTCTGTGTGACGAACCCTCTGTCGTGTCGACTAACAACCTCCCGACGAGGTCCAAGGTCGGGTGCAGTGAGTTGAGTAATTGAGATCGGGAATTTTTCTATACACCCTTCTAGTAACAGCTCTGCTGTTGGCAGCGCTATACACACTTCTACCAAATGAAACAGCAGCTCTAATATTTACACTATCCATACGCTATGACTACTTCACCGCTACATACATCTCCATCTTCTAGTTCTAGCATAAGCATATTACAATGAATATGAATTTATGAAACAGTATACGACCGTGGGAGGATCTCAGCGAGTCATTGGAAGATGATTTTTTGATTCTCGAACAACGCGCCAATGATACAGGTGGGGACTACTTTATCACATTCAGGAAAAAAGAAAAACATGGCTCATTTCCAGTCTTTTTACTTCTTCTCTCGTATTGTGTTAAGAGTATGCTCTTCCTTCGTTGCAGCAGACATAACTTGACGACAACTGTGCGACGGCCAACGGTGGTAGAGAATCAGAGTTGTATGTTGCGATTATATAGTAGTATATCTATTACACAAGATGGTAGACGGTTCGTCAGGAGCAAACACACCGAAGAACATGCGTCAGCTTTGACGTACGAAGAAAAGGAATGAGTAGACGAAGCTAAAATACCATTACAAATATAAATTCAACGCGTTATACTTTAAGTCACCAGCACAGCATTTTTTAGCGAAACTATTTTGCACCTAGCTCAAATGTTATAGCGTCACTTCACCTAGGTCAAGAAATGATGTACATCACGACCCCCGTCAACATTTTACGCAGCTCAAACAATACATTAGCGCGGTTCATGAGTTCTCACGGAAATTTTCGTCCGGTCCAGGCGTACCAGTATCAGAGCAGTCACGGTGCGGGCGCTGATCTGAAGAAAATAAGTAGCAACGTGTACAAGTCTCCGTTAAGGAGAGAGACCGGAGTAGTCTATTCTATTCGCAATCTCGATTTTCCTTCCTTACTTGTACTGCTGGAACAAAAGATTGCGCAAGCAGGAGTCCCAGAGACAGGTCACCGGCTGAATTTTTTCGTAGATTGAGACGGCAGCCCAGCGACTCTTTGAAAGTGTAAATGATCCCATGAACGAAATGAAGATCGCCAAGGAGCACGATTGGTGGTTTAGGTGATGCATTTCTTCTGCGCGCAGGCTCTGTTCCGCTGTCGGCATTTCGAATAGTTGAAATTCGTGACTTTTGGTCGCACAGCATTTCAGATTGTTTGGCATGATGGCGACCCATCTCTCTGAGCGAAAAGTGCAGGGGGTGAGCGGAAAACGAACGGACCAAACTTACGAGGCACTGCTGCAGCAACTGGAAGAAAAACATGAGTAGAACAACTATTGCCCGGTTCGTTGTCTCGTGAATGCAGCAGCCCTCTTTTCTGTCAGGCCAACTGCTATCATATGACCGGCGTAGACATGAGCAGGAGAAAGAGTGAACATTGGGAAAAGATCAGCTGCGCATAGCAAAATGCGTCCTTGTTCCTCAGCCTAGAAGGTGTCACATACTTCACCGGGAGATACTGCGTGTCGTCATGCTAGGCGGGACTGTAGGGCGCAAAAAAAAATGCTGATGAGACAAGATGTCGTTGCCCGAGCACTTGCACTTAGCTTCTTTCCGTCAGAGCCACGAAGGGACGACGAGACGGGGTCCGAGGGATGGAACATCGCGCAGAGCGAGTCCGTCTTCTGGCAGAAATTCGCCTTCTTCTTGCGGTTGCCGCTATTGCGTCTGCCGCGAGTTTCTCGCCGCAGAAGGACGGCATTGGGATGCCTCAATCTGAATGAAAGGGGACAACACCGACCACAAAACGCGTCATAGCGCTCCGACACTGACCTCAGTGTTGCTGTCTATCGGCTGCCAAGACTGAAGCGCGATCGGAAAAAATCGGCACGGGCTATCGATCAGTGGTTTATATCGCCTATTACTTGTATCAAAGCAGGGTATTGGTATTGGAAATGGATGTGGTATCCGCAAAAAAAGCTGTCTCCCCCTTCTCATACCCCTTCCAGACCAAGCAATTCAAAGTCGCTCAGCATGAAAAGCAAAACCGGTGACAGGTCCGACACAAGACAAAGACATATGAAAGATGGGCCTCATGCATATCGAGCATGACATACAACAAAAACTTCCCCAAGGAGTCTGCGCATTGCAAGTTCAGACTGAGATACTATATATGTTCTTGCGATAAGCGCAAGCCTAGCCGACGCCGCCTACAGAAAGCCACCCGACCTCGTCTTCCGAATCGATCGGAGGCGGCAGACGTTTTCCGAAGGGGTTCCCCACTTCCTCCAAACTCGGCGGACCAGGCTGGCAAAAGTGGGAACGTTTCGGGGACCTAGACAGGCTCGAAAGCCGCCGCGAAAACCTAAGAAGACCCGGGGGCGGCAAGGTGGCCCCTTTTCACAGGCCAAACAGGCTCGGGACCGATCGGAGGCGGCGGCCGTTTTCTGGGTGGGCTCCCCACTTCCTTCCAACTCGGCGGACCAGGTTGGCAAAATTGGAAAAGTCCCGGAGACCTAGACAGGCCCTGAAGCCACCACGAAAACCTGAAAAGCCCCGGGGATGGCAAGGCGGCCCCGTTTTGTAGGCAAAACAGGCTCGGGGCCGACCGGAGGCGGATGGCGGCCGTTTTCTGGTTGGGCCCCCCACTTCCTCCCAACTCGGCGGACCAGGTTGGCAAAATTGGAAAAGTCCCGGGGACCTGAACAGGCTCGAAAGCCACCGAGAAAACCTAAAAAGCCCCGGGGATGGCAAGACGGCCCCTGTTTACAGGTGAGACAGGCTCTGAACCGATCGGAGCTGGCGGCCGTTTTCTGGGTGGGCTGGCTCCCCACTTCCTCCCAACTCGGCGGACCAGGTTGGCAAAAGTGGAAAAGTTCCGGGGACC